AAGTGCTGCAATTCTAGGTTTTGAATAATTCAGCCTTTCGAAGACTGAAGTTCGAGGGGCGGGTTTAGGCTCCTCTTTTGGCCTTGTGGCTTGTGGTCTTAGCTTCCTCGTTTTTTTGTAGGTCACCGATGTCCACCATTTCTTATCACCAGTAGATGCATCTTGGTTGCTTACCCCCGGTGATGGTTGTGTAGGAGGTGCCATGTGACTTGAACATTGACGGGAATGGTCATGCATGCTTCGGAGATGCACAGGATCGAGTGATTCAAACACGATAGTAGTAGTGTGTGCCGCAACCGTGTCTTCGAGGTCAAGCTCGATTTCCCCTTGCTGTGCTAGCTTCAGGATGAGATCTTTCAGTACGAAGCACTTTTCTGTCGGATGACTGATGAAGCGGTGGAATTTACAGTATCTTGGACTGTCGGTACGATTCATCTCTTTCGGTCGTCTGCACTCAGGCAAACTGATCACCTTCTTGTCCAACAGGTCATCCAACATGGCAACCACATCAGAGTCGGGGAATGGATAAGTCTTCTCCTCAAGCTCCTTCAAAGTGCGTCTACGCATCTCTTGATCACGAAAAGCTTCGGTTTGAATCGCCTTGCCTCGTGTGGAGATTCTGACGGGAGCTGTGTTGACCGTCATTGCTTCCTTGGTGGGTTTCCATGCAGCCTTTTCCACATTTGTCCCAAGAACTTTGTCGTTCTTGTAGTCGGCGATCGGTTCTTTCTTCCCATGATAGGCGATGCTCAACTCCATGTCATGGGCGCGAGTGGCCAATTCCTCGAAAGTCCGTGGTTTAATGCCTTAAAGGATGTATTGCAAACCCCATTGCATGCCTTGGATGCACATCTCGATTGAAGAGGTTTCCGAGAGCCTGTCTTTACAGTCGAGGCTTAGAGTGCGCCATCTGTTGATGTAGTCGATGACTGGCTCGTCCTTCCACTGCTTTGTGCTCGTTAGTTCTAGCATGCTCACAGTGCGGCGGGTGCTGTAGAAGCGGTTGAGGAATTCCCTTTCCAATTGCTCCCAGCTGTTGATGGACTCAGGCTCTAGGTCCGTGTACCACTCAAAGGCATTTCCTTTCAGCGAGCGCACAAACTGCTTGGCGAGGTAGTCTCCCTCCGTCCCCGCGTTGTTGCAAGTTTCGACGAAATGTGCAACGTGCTGCTTTGGGTTTCCTTTTCCATCAAACTGCATGAACTTTGGTGGTTGATAACCCCTTGGCATCCTTAGGGCATCAATCTTCTTGGAATAGGGCTTCGAGTAGAACAAGGAGGTATGTGAGCTCCCTTCGTACTGTGCCTTGATGGTGTTGGTGATCATCTCCTGCAGCTGCTTGATAGAAAGAGATCCCATGAGTGCCGCTGCTTGGTCTAGCTCCGGCTTCCCATCGATTTTCTTCACCGGGGGTTCTTCGTCTCCGCCAGCTCCTCCCTTTAGTGGATCATCCTCTGGGTCGGGTTTATCGCCGTCCTGCGCCTCCAGTCGGTTGACTAGTGCTGCAATTTGCAAGTCTTTTTCTTCCACAGTTCGGGTTAGCCTTGCGATTGCTTCATTCATTTGAGCCAGCTGCTCATCGATTGAAGTTGCTCCAATGGTCATGACTTGCATGGCTGAACTGTCGCTTGAATCGGCATCGGAGAGCATGGATTCGGGGTATTTCCTTGGGCTTTCCCCCCTTGGTGCCCTTAGTGAGGCTAAGGTGATCAAAGGCTCGTGCTTTGGGTGTTTTTGTTCCCTTGGCAGAGTTGATGCAGAGGTGAAAGAGGCGGCAGAAGTAGCTCTTGCCATGCTTCGAGTCGTGATGCCCAAAGTGACACCACCTGCGACGAGAACGCTCTTGTTCTTTGTGCCAGTTGCGGGAACAGTTTGAGCCTTCCTTGAAGCCATTAATTTTGGAAGTGTGCTCGAATTTCTTGAACGGAGAAAGAGATGAGAGGTAGAGATTGTCCCACTGGGCGTGCCAATTTGTGAACACGGAAAATTCCTGAAACGAAAGAGACAAGAAACGACGTGCACAAACAAATATTTGTATTTGATGATTTTGGGTTACAATCTCTCTCTATTTTGATCCTCTGATTCGATCTCCGTAAGGTGTGTATTTGAGGATGTGTGATTGATCCAAAGGGCCGTTGGGCTTGATCTAAGGATGAACGTTCTTCAAGGGCCGTGGACTTGATCTTGAAGGTGGATTTGAGCGGATCTTCAAATGGGCTTTTGGGCTTGATCTTTGAAGAACAGTGATGAACGAATCTCCAAGGGCTTTTGGGTTTGATCTTGAAGAACAGTGATTAACGGATCTTCAAGGGCTTTTCAAGGGCTTTTGGGCTTGATCTTGAAGAACAGTGATGAACGGATCTTCAAGGGCTTTTGGGCTTGATCTTGAAGAACGGTTGGATGTGTGGATTTGTCGACGTTGTTAATCCAAAGGGCCGTTGGGGCTTGATCTTGGATGAACGGATGATGAACGATGATGCTTTCTTCAAGGGCCGTCGGGGCTTGATCTTGAATTGGTGGATGGTTGATCCAAGGGCCGTCGGGGCTTGATCTTGGAAGAACGATGAACGAAGAACGAAGAACACTTTCTTCAAGGGCCGTCGGGGCTTGATCTTGAAGGTGGATTTGATGAAGAACGAAAAGGGGTTTCTTGATTCTTCGGGAACTTGGATGCTTGAGAGCTTCGGAGTTTCAGAGCTTTAGAGCTTCAAGGTGTAATATGAATTGGTTCCCCCAAATGAATGAAATGGGCTTGTATTTATAGAAATTTCTAAGGCCTAATTTTGAATATAATATTCCAGATGAAATAAGTCGTTTCTGCCAGGTGTTGACACGTGTCCTATTTGATGACTTTTCCAACTCATTTCAATTTTCGTTGAGTCACACGCTACGTGTAAAATTTATGTAATACATGAGCGTTGACACTTTGATTTATCGGTCAACATTTATTTACCGAAATTTCGATGTCTACAGTAACTGTTGAGATTATCTTACACTAAATGATGAAGGTGTCTAGACGTCTCACAATACGTGTGAGCAATTGATTAGAAAAACTTACGTTAGTGAGTTCAAATTTGATGTGAGCGCATTTGTAGTCAGTTGAATGAACAAATTCAGCAACTTCTGATCGAGTATGGTATGTGGACCAATAGAATAATAAATTCTTATGATATTTCTTTTTTTTCAAAATCTATACCAAGAGCAATTATCTTGCAAGAAATATGTTTGTCACGTTGAGAGACCATTTGATGTCTTATCCATGTTTTTTTCAATATCATGTTTGCGGGAGTAGCGCCCGGGGAGTATGCAAATTAAGGTCCACTCTTTCTTCTTCTAGAGTTTAAATTTTGGTACTTTAGAAACGATTAGACTTTGATTTCATTTAATATAAGCTATTTATCTTTTGAATTTTGATGTTTTTTTCAAAGAAGCAACATATATGTATTTCTTGTAGGAAACACTTAAAGTGCTTTTTCAGAATAACTTCTACTAAGGATTTGTTTGAAAAATATTTTCACCAAATACGATTTAAGTTATTTTAAAAATACTTTCAAACGAGTTAAATCTAAACCAATTTCCTTCGTAATTCGCTTTTTAATTAAGCTGTTCCTTCCATGTGATGCAAGGCACTACATTTTCGACTAATTCTGTGAGCTATATTCTTGTGTTCAAAGTTGAAACTACACAAGCAAATAGTAAATTTTCGGTTCTTTGCATGAGCATCTAGCCATAGCTGTGAGCTGGCATACTATGGATCTTACAGTAATATTTAGGTCCAGTTTACATGGTATAACGTGTAAGAATGCACCGATTACCAAATTAATTTGGTCTGAAAGTCACATTCCCCAGTTAATTGACCTTGAATTTGACACCACTCTATAGTAATAGTTAGGTCCCGTTTTTACATGGAAACATATTGAGTGTTACACCGACAAATGATGTTACTAATTCCCGTATTATATTAAAAGTATATAACATGAGTGAAATAATAACGTTATGATGCAGTGTGTGACAATCACATTGAACAATATCATACTTGTTTGTTTAATTAAACTCTTGTATTTTACTTATTTTATATAATTAACCCTTCCACATTTGCATATTTTGGTTTAGCTAAATTGGTTAGAACAACGCTTTCCACTCTACACCATTATTTCGTCTCTTTTCTCGTAGTTTAGATTAATTAGCGACTGTTACTTGTAAAACCATTCCACATTCCTTCATTTCCATCACCGGGGAGTAATCACGCATAGAAGTAATGACTAGGTAACTCTTCCGTGCTAGCTCTTCCAATTAACTTTATAATTAGGACGAGCATGAGAATTCTTTGAGATCGAGTTGTCGTATATTCAATGAGCTTCAGAGTTGATAATGTGAACACACCAGAGATTTTCTGCATGATGTTTATTTGTCATGGCATAATCCTCCTACCGCTAGTTAATTAGTACAACAAATTCACTGGAATTATTTTGTTACCAAATTGGTAAGTAAATTTATATGTGGGGTAAAGTCACATGTTCGATTGACATTGTCAGCCTCAATGTTGCCTCTACAGTCCACATCTAACATTTTAATGTATACAAAAAATGATGAATAATATTTCAACAATTAACTAATCACGTGTATTGTTGAAGAATAATATTATCTAGACACACAAACTATTATATCATATTTGTTGACGTAAGAAAAATATCGTATTTGTTGACGTAGTCTCTTATACAAGTATGTTCTGCATAAAATAATATAGTTCATCCCTCTTACGGAATTGTATCATCAGAACTGATAATTGTATATATACAAATAGTATTATCGGTTGTATATATATAGCTAAATATTCACTATAAGTGTCACAATCACAAATAACAGATAATATTAAGAAATTCAGTTTTCTCCGAATGGATATAGCTATTGAGATTTGAATTATATATATAATATATAGACACATACATACATACATACATATATATATATATATATGATCCAACACAAATTAAAAGAAGTAGAAGTCTAAAAGTGCTTTTATTATTACCAAAGTTAAAAACTTACTACACGTCGTCGAAACTCGGAAGTAATAGCATAGACATGGACTGAAGACTACTCCATGTCACATTCTTGTCAATGAAAAAAGGAAAAGAAAGAAGACGAAAAAAATCTCTTTCTTCTGGCCTAATGAGCAAACCCTAGCTAGCTAACTAGCCAGATTTATATATCAAAGGCTCACGACAAAAAGAGTTTTAACAGTACTAGTACTTAACACTGATGATTAATTAGGAAGCTCTCCGTACATATATCATCACATAAGTAAACTCCTAATAATGGCTGCTTGGTCGTTATCCATGTCCGTCGTGGCCAAAAGCTCTGATAAGCGCTCACTTAGGTCATCCACCTCTCTGTGTAAGTTTCTAATATAATTGCAAGTCTCTTCCAAAACCTTCGACGCCGACGCCTGCCAAAATATTAATCGGAACACATTAACTAACAAATTAATACATAATAACTAATCAGTTACACATATATAATTATCCACCTCAATTTAGACAGAAACATATACAAATGAGAGGGTCTGGTGAGGATGGCATGGGGGAACAATTGGAGTCCCACACCGCAAGTTGTGGCTACAGAATAAATGAGACGAGTGTGACTTATCTACCTCTACATATTATCTAACCAAACGGAGACCACATAAAAGAATAATTGCATTAATTTTTGCAACATTATATTACAAACATGAAAGGCTAAAAGAGAGCCAGGAAGAATGAAAGTTAATTTTAAAAAGACAAAAAATAATAAATGTATATGTATACCTTGTCGGAACGCCTATTGCGAATCTCGGGAAGAAGCTGCTGTAACTTGGTTACGAGATCAGTGATCTGTTCATCACTGATACTGTTGTTGTTCCTGCTCGACGACTGCCTCGACCGTGAGGACCTTCTGCTCGACATTGTCAAGTATTTGGTGAGTTTGAAGTTCTGACAGAAGACTCAAAGCTCAGAAGGAATAACAGTAATAGAGTTTGAAGTTCGTCTAGAATCAATTATATTAATAGAACGAGAAAAATGAGAAAAATCCTGAGAGACAAATGAGCGAGAAAGTATGAGCTGAGAGAGAGAGAGAGAGAGAGAGAGAGAGAGAGAGAGAGAGAGAGCAGAGAAGGAATGCTTGAGGAGTAGGGAGACAAGTGCATGGGAAGAAGCAGTGGGCTAAAGGGTTGATATTAATAGGGTTTGAGGAATGAGAGCGATGGAAGGGATAAAATTGAATTTTTTTAAAAAAAAAATCTAGTGGGGATCACAATGGAGAGCAACTTTCTTGACATAGTATTTTACGTTAATATATAACGTTATATAGAGAAAAATTTATGTGCAGTGTTGTATAATTAACATAATATAAATTACATTTATGATGTACTCATACCATATAAGTTTGATTTTCCAAAGTGGGGAAGGGATGGAGAAATGGAGATACGCCGGCCATACTGTCTTTTGATCAAGTGTCTGCAAAATAGGGTTAGAGTTCAAGTGGGTTAAGAGGAATGTGCTTGTTATCGGCCTACTACGCGGGCCTCTCTGTGTCAGTCCCAGCACGCAAGGCCATGTTATCTTATTACTTGTTTGTCATTTTAATTAATTATTTAATTAACATCTGTACCTTCTACAACATTATTTATTAATTTGTTTACTACTTGAGAGTGGTGAGGGAGGCTCCTCTCCTCCATTTTTCCTTGTTTGAAAGCTCCAAGGTGAGTACTGTGCAAGTGTGTGTTGTATGACATTGTTGAATGTTGACCCGGCTGATCTCCAATTAAGCACTTTGGGTTTAGAGCATGCACGTGTGGTCTCGTCTGTGTCAAAATCTAAACCGGATTCCCAGGCAAAAAATCTGTCTAATTTTACTTTACTACTCATTGTAATGCTTTCATTATATGAGTTAAGCATGCTTCTTGTCAATTTAAACCCTAATTAAAAAAAACATAAAGTACAGATTAAGCATGTTTTTAGCAGTTTACCCTTCAAGTTCAAGCATAACATTTTTGGAGCCATGGATAGATTCTTAACATAAAGTTTAAAACTACAAATTATACTATATAGTTAATGGAGAAATACTTATACAAGACATCTTGGTCAAACGCTATTTTATAAGACCTCATGCCTTCAATTGTTTCTGTTTTACTATCTAAATAATATATTCTTTTGTAGCATCAACATATTGTCGTACATTTAAACATCAAACCTGATGTATTACAACTATTAATAGATAAGTCTTACACATCGTGAGACCAACCTTACTAGTTGGTTGGTCTGACTAGTCTACTGAACTAGTTTTTCACCCGTTATAAGATAGAATAATCTGAAATATGAGTGTCATATCAGTTTATTGACCTAGTATCTAATTCTGGTAATAGAACTAACCCGCCCATAGTTTGGTTGGAGGAGAGTGAGACTAAAGAAGCACAGCTTACTGATATTGCATTGCTATTTTACTTAAAGTATTTCTCCAATATATACTCTGAAGACCTTAATGCAACTAATTAAGTTAAATATTCATATCTAAATATAACCAACAATAATAAAACAAAACATAATCAAAATATTAGGGGTCACAAACTGCACTTAATCGGGAATTTTCTACTTTTCCAAGACAAAAAAGTACTAAATCCCCGGACAATATGTAAACTTTTTTTCTGGCGTGCTTCCTGGTAATTAAGTTGGTATGTCGACGTTAGTCGTTGGCTGGGGCTTGGGATCATCACTGTAAAATCCCGATTGCGGTTTTTACTGCACGTGTTTGTAGTGGTTTTATTTTTATGGGTAAATTACATAGTAACCTTTCAAGTTTGAGGTTTATTACAACTTCATACAACATATTTAAAACATTTCACTTTCATACCTCACGTACTATTTTATTTCAAAATAATACATTCATTAGATTTTCCAGTCATTGATCCGTTAATCGCTGACGTGACTGCCAAATGTGTGTCATGTGGCAAAAATAATTTTTTTTTTTTGAGACTTTGGATGCGGTCCCTAACTATGAATATTCTTTGACTAAAACCTTGTTGGTTTTCAAATTTTGATCCAAGTCCCTAAAATTAATGTGATAATTTTATTTCTATGTACGTTAATATATTTTTTAAATTAAAAATTGAAATTTATATTTGTTTATATTAATGAGATTTATTAAAATATAAATATTAATGTGGTGTGTGAAAACATGGGTATATTCATCAAAATTAACCAAAGAATTATTGTATCAAATGTACATTCTTCAAATCAAAAAAAAGATATTAGGCTTAATAATTTTGTAAATTAAAAAATTAAACTTAAATGGATACATTCTTCAAATCAAAGAAAAAAGAATGTACCCATAAGTTTAAAAATTGATTAGAATAAATTGAATAGATTATATATATATTATAAAATGGTACATTTTACATATAACAAATTGGTATATTTAAGAATAAGTACATTTTAAGATTAAAAATTTGAAAAAATTACATGAATGGGTACATACATAATTAGCATGGGTACACAAAAGCAAAAAAAATATGGGTACAAATAAATAAAATTAAAAATACGGGCATAAAAAATATATGGGTACACATAAATTTAAAACTAAATTAAGATTAAATTGGTACAAATTAAAAATGGGTACAAAACTAAAAAATAAAAATAAAAATATATGATAAAAAATTTAACCATAAATATAAATATATACTACTTGTAACATTTTTAAACTTAAATGAATATATTTTTAGAAAATAAAAAAATAAAAAATTAATAAACCTAGAAAAAAACCCCCCAAAAAAAACCCCCAGAAAGAACCCACCCCCCCCCCCCCCCCCTAAAACCCTCCCTCCCCCACAATCCCCAAACCAGAGAAAAAGAAAAAAAAATCAAAAGCTGAAAGAAAATCCCCACCCCTATGAACCCCCAAAACCAGAAACCCAGAAAGAACCCCACCCCCCTAAGACCCTTCCTCCCCCATGACCCACCTCCCCCCTGCGGAGCCCCTCTCTCCCTCACAACCCACCTCACCCAGAAACCTACATCCCTCCCTCCGCACCTGCCCTCGCACTCACCCACCCTTTTCCCTCCTCTACCACACACCCCCCCCCCCACTCCCTAAATCCACATCCATTCCTCCCACCTCACGAACCCGACAATGACGCGTAAACGAGATCTGGGTTTTTTTTTTTATTTTTTCTGGGTTGCAGGTAGGGGGTTGGGGGAAGAAGATGAAGATGTGGGAGAAGAGAGGGGGAAATGATGGGGAAAGACGAACTGAAGGGTTTTTTTTTTTTTTCCTAGGTTGCAGGGGGAAGAAGATGAAGATGGGGGAGAAGATAGGAGGACGATGGGGGATAAGGTTTCTAGGTTTGGGGGTTGCGGGGAGAAGAGAGGAGGAGGAGGGGGGATAAGTTTTCAGCTTTTTTTTTCTTTTTTTTTTATAATTTAGAAGATTTAGGTTTTTTTTAATTAAAAAATTATTATTTTGCCACGTGTCACATATTTGACAACCACGTGGCAGTCACGTCAATGCTTAACAGATCAATGAATGACAAATCTAACAGAGGTATTATTTTGAAATAAAATAGTACGTGAGGTCTGAAAATAAAATGTTTTAAAGATATTATATTGGGTTATAATAGACCTCAAACCTGAATAGTTACTATATAATTTACCCTATTTTTATTTTTAACTTTTAACTTGCACGAGAAGAGAAGGTAACAATCAATCAAAGGGTCACAACGAGAGAAAAAAAAACTAAGGCATGCGCGTGCATGTGAAGAAGTTGAGAGCAGCCAAATTTAACTGACCACATGCGCCTCCTGTGGCTTCTACACCTTTCGAATTTCAAACAATTATTTTTATTTTTCGCATATGCATAATGCACTAATTAAATAACAATAAAGGTAGACGGCGGTTTAGTGCAGCAGTAGAAAGTAATAATATCTATGTATTTTGGTGCAAGTTCGATCTTCACCGACAATTTAACCTAATAACATTATCATTTATCACAAAAAAAAATTAAAAGATAAAATGAAAAATTGTTTGAAAACTTGTTATTATGAGAGAAAACACATGGTACCCACATCCCGGACATGGGAAAAAACTTCAACAGGACAGAAACACTCACAAGTTCTCCTGTTTTTTCTGTTAATTTGATCCTATTTGTGACAACATAGCAACTTCTTCCTCGGCCTTTATAGACCTCATATGACGCTTCTACCAAAGATTCACTGTTGGTATAAAGTGTTGTTTCATTTTATTTTTTCAGTAAACAAAAGTGTTTTCTATATAAACATGCCCAAACAATACAAATAAACTGCGATGACCAGCGTTTGCATTCGGGCTTTCACCCGTAACTCCATTGAATTATTTTGAACCAAGTATTCAATTGGGATTTTGAGGGATTTTAATTCTTTTAATGAATCCAGATGTATTCAATCTGGATTTTAAGTGATTATCTGAAATTCAATTAGGATTTAAAGATAGTTTATTAAAATCCTTAGAAATCTAGGTGTATTTAGTTAGAATTTTAAAGAAATTTATAACATTCCAGGTGTATTCAATTAGAATTATAATTTAAAGAATTTGGAAAAGTTGAGGAATTAGAGGGAATTGGAGAGATTTTGTAGTGTATTTTAAGCATCCACAAATCTTACATATCTCCATGAGATTTCGAGTGAATTGAATCAAAATTTTACATGGAATCTCTACAAATCAGTCAAACTTCATAAAAATTTATGAATTTATAAATTTATTAAAATATTTCAAATTCTTAATTGAATACACCCTTTCAAAATGGGGCCTGGAAATGCCAAAACGTATACCAACCAATCTGAACGGGCTTCTGCGATTACATAGTTGTGGAAATAATTTCTTTTTCTTTTTTTTTCAAACAGATGATGCCAAAACCTAGTCACGTGACAATTATTTCAAATGCCGTGAATGAACTTGGCAAACCTAAATAGGAACGTGGCATTGCCAATATAACAGCCGACTAATTCTTGTGGCCAAGTGGTTTGGATGAATTTCAGATTCGTATTTCAAACGGTACGTTTTGAGTTCGATTCTTGATGCTAGTGAATCACACGATAATGACCATAGGAGATTGAAATGTCTCTATGAGCCTCTTCGGCCCTCCAAAGATTGTACTACCATGATGAAGCCACCAATTGGTTCTCTT